AGTCCCATTATTTCCAGTAAGCTCGTGTAAAGTGAAAAACATTCCAATTGAATATCATTGCACCGCCCCTTTAAGCTCCTGAATGAGAGAAATGAGGAGACTGCGTTAAACAGAAGACGTTGCTGGAGTGTGCACAAGAGTGTGTGCAAACGCACCTCCTGGAAATTTCAGACAGCATAACAACCAAGGCTCTATCTGCAATGTTAGAGGTTCGTTCAACACCGCCATCTGTAAACCCATGGACAATGTCGTGTGCAAGGCCGTAAGTTAAATTCTTTTTTTAAAACAATCTCATCGAAAATCAACATGCACACACGTTCAAGTGCAGCCAGACAGCCCGGCAGAAACAACAGCGCGAGAAGCTCGAACCGATCGGCTCCACGAATTCACGCCGAGCATGCGAGCACGCGGGCGGTCATGCGTCACCTTGATTGATGCAAAGTCGACCGAACATGATGCAGCGGAAAGCACAGATGGACGGCACGCACGGCACAGACGAACGACGCAGGGACGAGCAGAGGCCATGCAGAATGATGCAGAGGCGACGGCGTGCAGGCAGGCAGGCCATGGCAGGCGCCATTCATCACGTGGTTTTTGTGACGTATTTGATTTAATCCATTTAGTCGTTTTAAGTACTTTAAACAACTTTAAAGCATTGCCATTTAAAAAATAAATTCTTTTCACTGAAAGAGTTTTAATTGATTTTAACCCAATTGTAGAAACGCGCCACGTAGCGGAGGGTATGAAACGCACTATCTGGGCCGCGAATCGGCTCCTGTGTCCTCTCTTTACGTTTACTATATTACTCTATGGAACTACGGCGAAAAGATACGTGACCTCGCTCACCTCTAAACTGCAGCGTAACGCCCGCTAATGTCAGCGGAGGGAGGGAGAGGAAGCGTCCTCCGAGATAGCACACGGGAAGCTACACGGCACTCCGAATGACGTCACTGGGAGTGCGACCAGGTGTGACCCTGAAGACTGGGAGTGAGTTGAGGGGTGCCAGAAATGCCAATCTTTATCTTTTTTTTACGCAAGAACTAGGACACGCAGGCGAAATCGGTTTTCTGTTTTTTACTTCAGAAGTGTCAGGGGGCAACTTTCAGAAATCTTTGACCGAAGTCCGAAAATCGTTGCACCGCCCCTTTAAGACCAGCTCCGCTGCAGCGCATCCGGTCCTAAAAAGTCGCAAGAGGCTTAAAAACCGGTCTTGTCTCTCTCGGTCGATCTCGGTTGTAAATGTGTGAACGGCGCTTAAAGGGGCGGTGCAACGATTTTATGATTACAAGAATTTGCATCTCGTCATTTTTACCTTGTTTATCGTGTCCCAGAGGATAAAGAAAACAGCTCCTTCATTAAAAATGTCGCGATTCCGCTGCATAATCGCGAAGCAAAAGTCGAGCTTTTTCCCCCACCTGCAGCCCCAAGTGGCAACCGAAGGAACTACGGCGAAAAGATTACGTGACCTCGCTCGGCTCTAAGCTGCAGCATAACGCCCGCTAATGTCAGCAGGGAGAGGGAGAGGAAGCGTCCTCCGAGCGAGCACACGGGAAGCTACACGGCACTCCGAATGACGTCACTAGGAGGGGGATAACGTGTGACCCTGAAAGCTGGGAGTGAGTTGAGGGGTGCCCGAAATGCCAACCTTTATCTTTTTTTTTACGCAACAACTAGGACACGCAGGCGAAATCGGTTTTCTGTTCTTTGGTTCAGAAGTGTCAGAGGGCAACTTCCCGAAATCTTTGACCGAAGTCCGGAAATCGTTGCACCCCCCCTTTAAAGGCCCGTTCACACTCTTGCGATCGAGTAAGACCGAGAGAGACCAGACCGGTTTTTAAGCCTCTTGCGATCTCTTGCGACCAGCCCCACTGCAGCGCATCCGGTCCTAGTCGCAAGAGGCTTAAAAACCGGTCTGGTCTCTCTCGGTTGTACTCGGTCGCAAGAGTGTGAACGGCGCTTTACTCGTTACTTGCGGCCTTGAAAGTAACTCAGTACGGTACTCGCTACCGAAAAGAAAGTAACTAGGTACAAGTAACTCGTTACGTATACACGTCTGTTCAAGACCCAAGACTGCGGGGCGACACTCCAGCCGCCATAGGACGTTTGTTTGCATCTTCACTCTCCTCATTCTGGGGGCTGACTGCAGCTATAACTGGAACTTTAACGTCATCAGAAAGGCACGTACGTTTCTTTCCGTCCTCTCATCTGCTTATGCCAACGCATGGCCGTTTGAATGTACGCCGAAAAGCTACGAGAATCCCAGCAACTCCAATCTCTAAAGATACAACGTATTCGTAATAGCTCGATATTTTAACAAGTCTACCAGCGTTCGCACGATACCCATTAATAAATCGAATAAAAGTCGGCGATCAATCGATTAAACGTTTTGAATCGGTGCCTAGCCCTACTTTCCTTTGAGCCGCGGTCAGACTGCAAATTCACCGTACAGAAGAGAGTCTGCTGTCTGGATTTCTTCCAATTGCACGACGGTCCTGTCATGTTGATCATACAAAAAAAAAAAAAAAAAAAATCGCCTGCAGATGAAGCATGCATAAGGAAAACATGCTAGGAACATGCACGAGCCACGTCTGCAGATGTCGCCATGTCTGCACAGAACGTACCGTGCCCCTTGTGATGATGCACGAGCGATGGGACTGCGGCTTTTACGCGCTATACTTGACTCGGATACTCTTCAAACGCAAATATTACGTACTTCATTCCCCTCTCCAGCGACGTCTTCCAAGGGTTGTTCAGCACCCGATCCGAGAGCTATATACGCACACGCTCCCGAGGAACCGAACGTGACGAAGGCCCTCGTGCGCCAGACGAGAGGCCAGCGGCCCAGGCAGGGGGAGGAGGAGGCGGGCGAGGAGCGAACCGCGGCTCAGTCTAGCATCGATTTTTCAGTCGCAGACTCGGGCGCCGGGACATGATGCCGCGCTGCCGTTCTCAGCTCGAGCAGCGGTGCGGCAGAGCCGGGTCCCGACGCCGCGTCGAGTGACGTGGAAACGGGCCCACTACTGTGTGGCGGCGGCGGCCCTGAAAGCCCCGGAGCTCCCCCACCGTCTCGTGGGGGGCTCCGCGAGGGTCTTCGCTCACGGCGGGCGGGGGGCGTTCACAGGTCGTCGCGCGTTGACGCCTCTTCCTGTCATTAATCGCGCTGCAGCTTGGACGGCCGACGGTTTCCGGACTTTCGTCGGCACCGCGACGTCGATACGCCAGAAAGCGAACGATGACACGACGCGGCTACACGCGGCCCGTTCCGGGAAGGATGTAGTCTGTCCTCTCACGAAGAGCGGTCTCCCCGCTCGGCACGTGGACCGAACGCTCCTGGCCGTTTGGGCCTTTTTCCTATCTCGCTGTTTCCGACCGACTCTTCCTGCTTTCCACATCCCCCTCCCCCCCTTTTTTTTTTTCGCGGCGCAAAACGTCTTATTTTGTGGTTAATGGCGGCAATTAAACTACCTATAGCCGCATTGCTTCCCTCGGATAATAACATATTGGATTGCTTTAATTAGTATGGGCAGAAATCGCTTTATCGCGTATCTTTTGTAATCGGATAAGTTGAAAATGTTGAAGAAAACCACAACGAAACGAGAGGCTCCATAACAGAAAGAAAGAAGGAACACAGACGAGTGTCTGTGATCCTTTCTTTCTGTTAGTATACTTTACCAACACGCTCGTTAGGAATATAAAAACGAGAGGCTTTGAACATCAATTCACAGATGTTGATCAGCACTTCCCGAATTGCCGAGAATGAGAACAAGAATGCGATTGTAACTTCTCTTTTTTAAACTACGAATTGGATGAGGCCCGTTGTGCTTTGTGCTTAGACCCTTTCCTTGAGACTACAAGCCTGTTGATGTCAAAATTCCTTGAGACTACAAGCCTGTTGATGTCAAAATTCCTGGGACGATGAACTAAATCGCAAAGTTGGGGATTTAGCGATTCATGTTGCGCTATTCAACATATACGAGTGGAGTGGTTTGCCTTACAGGAGGAATAGAAATGTCCAAGAAATCTATCGCTAATCGCTCCTTTTAGCTAACCACCTGGGGAACTGGTCATAAAATATTTCACGAACGTTACGATTTGTTCTCTCGTTTCGCAGGGACGTGAATTGCCAACAGAGACTCCTTCGGGCGCTTAAAAAAGAAATGTCTATAAATTTTCAGGTAATTTTAGGGAGGGCCATCTTCAACGAGTCTTCGTTTCAGCTGAAGTTTAGAAGCAACCGACGCTACGAGACCATGGGACCAATCAGGCAACGACAAAAACGCAACGTCATGGTGATTGTCAAGTGTCTGCACGTATTATATCATCGCTGAACCAATCTTCCGAAAGAAAGGACCAGTGACTTGCGCTTTCCAAGTCGTTTGATCGGTCCCATCAAATTGTAGCATATCGGCTGCGTCTGCACGTGAACCGAGTATAAATTGTTTTCGTGAATTTCCGAGGAGCGGTCATCTTGCGTCCTCTCCTCCCGGTCGTACTATTTCCAAAACAACGTTGTTGCTGTTTCATATTTTTTTTTTTTGCCGATACGATTACATTTAGGTTATAAGACACCACTACCAACGTTTTTGCGGAGCGGGAGCATCGTCACGGCAGCAATGCCGCTGCACTTATTCCAGCATCACTCCAGCTCAGCCCGATTCACCTTTTCCGGCGGCAAATCATTGAAATCAACAATTTCCAAAGCGAACCGAATTCGCTCTTCCAATCCGCAATAGAAACACCTCCCATACCGGAGTCCCTTTCCCCGGGAGCACCAGCCCGCTGCACAAAAACACGCGCATCCGAAAGTGAGCCAGCCTAATCCCGAGACTCTCCGGGTGCTCCTCCACCACACACAGACACCCCAAGTGATCCCCGGAGGGACCCTTCTCGGCCAGACCGCCGCCACTGTATTATACCGGCCACGACGGCCTCCGCGGAAGCCCACGGCGGCGAGAGCCTGCAGCTCACGTGCGCGCCAGGGCGCTCATCTCTCCACTCACCGGTCTTAATCGCATTCCGCGCTAAGCACAAGAGGAAGTCAGCGGCGATGCTCCGCTGTGGGGCTCATGGCGAGGAGCGTTCGCCGGTCGCCTCGGGCCTCCCGGGACGCCGCATGCGACGTCCGCCTGCAAGAAAAAACAGGGCTCGGTTCAGAGTCGATTCACGCACAACGAGCAGTCGACGCGGCGGAACACACTCGAGAGACACTATATACACGAGCCGCTCCCAAAGAACGAGTGGTCGAAGCGCCGGACCGCGGAAATTCGAGCGCCTCAAACGTCGGTCCACTCGCGCAGCCCCGAAGCAGCTGCATGCAGGCTCCCGGGGTGTTCGAAGGACCTCTCCGGACGCCGGCTCGCCCGACGCGGCTCGCTGACACAGCCTCCGATTACGCATCCATCCTCCAACGGCTGCAGATGCCGCCGACAAGCAAACGAGCCTTGCAGGTATTAGCGCCCAGATGTTTCGCTCGACGTTCGTGACGTCACGTCGAGCATCATCTTTAACATCGTCAGTTGCGAAGTTCCATGGTATGTGTCAAAACAGCGAGCTTGGGGTCATCGCATCGCTCAACCAAAGTCGTGTCACAGTTGACACCCTGACATTGAGCCGATTTCCGTCGATGAAAGAAAAAAATTCGTCCAGATATAGACGCCGCAGTACGCGTTTGGCCGATCGCGAATCGCGACCACAGCGACGCTTTTTCCGTCGCGCACGTCGCTAATATTAACTAACCAAGTCGCGAGATGTTAGCGTTGGCTCGTCACCCTCAGTGGGGCGGGAGAATAAATTTCAGCGCTTTAAGGCTTGACTCCGTGGGGCGAATAAATGCTGCGAAAATTGCCGAATTTTGCCCGGCGGCATATTTGCCCTGTGCGTGACATCAGCACAGTGGCTGCTACGTCGCGCGCAAAGCAAGCGCGCCGTTGGGCGACGTTCGACAGTTATTCGTCGCATATTTCGCTCCACAGAGTTCAGCCTTTAGTCGGTCAAACGGTGGCGCCAACTGAACACTTCGGATGGTTGGGCATGCTGACGACGAAATTACGAAAACAGATGAGCGGCAAAGAAGACAATGCTGACGATTATCCTCCACATTAAGATCGTCGTAAGCACTCACAAGAAACTTAAAACCATTTTTCAGCCTCTCCGGTCGTAAGCGGTCGCAACTGGGTGAAGCAACAAACAACCTTTACACGCATGACACAAAACTCTTCTATTCGACTCCCGTCCGCTGAACGATCGCGGATCTCCGACGGTCGTCTGAGCTCGAGCACAAGCGCACAGTGCTCCTGGAGCGACCACGGCAGCGCCGAGGACCCATGCGCAGCTGGCCAACAGCGAGCGGCGCTTTCTGCCGCGGTGCATGGAGCGGGCCTCGCCGAGTGCAGCTGGTGGGGGCATTCGAAGGGCGGTGCGCGGCCGTAAATCAGCTGACAAACCAACCAGCTGCGGGACCAACGAAACACGCCCCGGGGCGGCCGCTCACGTACATCTCCGCGTCCAAGTGACCGCTCGCAGACGCGCTATCATTATACGCACCAATTGGCATGATTACGTAGGTATCGACCTCCTCGTTCCCATCATCCTGCCTTGCGAACGTCTTCTTTCATTCACCGCGGCCCGATTAAGCTCATGCCATGCAGCCATAGAAAATAAAAAAAGTAACAGTTTGGTGAAGTCGTGCACAGAGTTAGCTAAGGATATGCAAGGATGGGGAGTTCTTGGTCGCTCAATGCGGAGCGACAAAATTGTATACCTCTTGAAAAACACTCGGCACTCTGCAACGGTTCACGCCTCTACAGTCTAGACGATTTGAGCCACCATTACCCGTGCTTTGCCTGTTTAGCCTCTGACTGGTCACAAGAGCACAACGGTGTCTAAAAGAAAGATTAAAAAAACGTGGGGGACGGGACGCTTAAAGCGCCGTTCACACATATGCAACCCAGTAAGACCGAGAGTGACCAGACCGGTTTTTAAGCCTCTTGCGACGTCTTAGGACCGGATGCGCTGCAGCGGAGCAAGTCCTAAGACGTCGCAAGAGGCTTAAAGGCCGGTCTGGTTTCTCTCGGTCGTACTCGGTTGACTATGTGAACGGGCCTTTGAGCTTCGCCTTTAAGAAGGGAACGCGATAGCGTTATCGGGCCCCGTTCGCAAAGCCTTCTCATTAGGGAGTTTTCGTAGATCGTTTCCGCCGTCCCGCAACGCTATCCGCAACCCGCTACGATACCCGAAACTCTACAGTCAAGGCCATCGGCGCGCAGGCGCAGTAGCGGCTTCTACGTTGCGGAGGGCTTAGCGGAGTGAGAAACGCGGTCTACGAAAATTCCCTTTTAAACCTGCGCATGTTCCCAAGCCGTGCAAGCATGTGTGCGTGGTCTAGTCGTCGTGTTCGTTGGAATTTTCCCGCTAAATTTAGCGGGTCGATAGGGTTATGACGTCACAGCCAGGTGTGACGTTGTACATTGCTGCGCGCGTTGCATTGTGGTTTTTTAGTCCCACCGACGCCGACGCCAGAATATTAGCGACACGAGCTCCTAAACGCTATCGCGTTCAAATAACATCTCGCGCATAAAGGGCAGTTTCACACACTTGCAACCGAGTGGGACGGAAAGAGACAAGAACTGTTTTTAAGTATATACGCGCGGGACGTAGTCACGTGATTTGTACGCGGTGTACGCATCCGGTCCTAAGACGTCACAAGAGGCTTAAAAAACGGTATTGTCTCTCTCGGTCGTACTCGGTTACAAGTGTGTGAACGAGCCTTAACCCTCCTGTGTACAGACGTATACGACGAAAAGCGTCAACCCAAAAGTGCTGCAAGCACCAACTACCACGTGTTAGCCATCCACGGCACAAGATGTGCTAACGCACAGGAAAATTTCTACATTCGTTGGCGCACAGACATGACGGTCTCGACCGATTTCGCAACCACATCTGATGGGGCAATAGCACGCCGCATCAAGTAGGTGACAGTTCCCGTCTTCGCTGGCTCCAATGTTCAGCCGAGAAATGAGGCCCCGATGCGTTATGTCATTTGAGCAACATGACTTTTGTTTCCACAGTCGGGAACTCTGAAGACCCTTTATGTTACTGTCAGCGGAGCACTTTGCGCAGCGCGAAAGAGGACATGTCACGCGTTTCGGAAAGAATCGCTTGACGAGCGGATACCAGCTCCGGCGAATCGCCACCGAAGGTGCATGCAGACCTCCGCTTTCTCGGAAGCTTTTCCGGTGAACAGAGCTTGACAGGGTCGACGGCGCCGTTGGAACTCCGGAAAATAAAAAGCCCCGCAGTCGGCCACCAGTGGCCGGGCCGTGCAGCGCAATACTCAGTTCAGTTCCGAGCTGACAGTGCGGGGGCAGCTATAGGATCTCGCCGGACCAATCAGCCGCCTCCCTTTCATCACCTGCTCCCGCTCTCTGCGCGGAGGTACTATCGGGGAGGGTGTGATCACGTGGCGGGGGATCGACTGGTCCAACGCACTCGTAGTTTCCGCCGATCTGTCAAGCTCGTCAGCTTAGGGACGAACGGAGTAAAGCACGTAAGTTGCACGGCTGCGCCAAAACACATATAATCTCGTTCTTTCTGGGCTTTGCAGACAGACAATGCAGCACTGACGACGCCGAACAAAAGAAACACTTTACATCCACTGCGGCCCCGTCAGACGGTGAACGTCCCCGACGTTGAACAGCTCTAAGGTCTGTCTCTGTGCTCTTTCAAACCACTCCAACGCCTCCAATATAAGTTTTTTTTTTCTTTTTTTGCGAAACGATATAATTTCGTATCGAGAAATCACATAATTTTTCTTTGCCAAGTCGTGTACTTACCGCAAAAATCAAACGAATTCGAACCGAAGTCAGAGGACGAAGGTGACGTCAAATATGAAGTCACGTGGATCGGTTCAGTCGCCGCGACCATGCCTTTAAAGTTTCATGAAATCAACCTGTTTCTGGTGTGTTGGGGGTGATAAAAATTGAATTTCATGAATTATAATAATTATATTCTTGAATATACCTCGGACAGTTTATTACTTTATTTCAAAATCCGTGTCGACATCACACGAAAAAGAAAAAGAGAGAACACTGCATTTTGAGTTGCAGATTTTGGGCCGATAGGCCTTTGTGTTTTATGTTTCCGTGACAAAACTAGGGACTACAGGGCTTATGAGACCTTGTCAGAATGCCTTTAGGTGACGATATGTCAGATATCAAATCGCATGACATCGAGTGAAAATGTTTGTGTTCGCCAAAAACTTGCTCACCAAAAACTGGCAAGGAAAGGTTTGTTCCATATATCTCCTCCGCTAAACATTAAACGAAGAAACAATAAAAGTACATCATGCGTGTAGATGCACATCCCCATATTTCTTGGACATTAACGCCTCGGCTAAAGCACTAAAATGAGAAATCCAACCGAACAACAACAAACATTGCAATGTTTAACATTTTGGACAAAACCCCGAGACTGGAGGGGGAAAAAGAACAACACAACACAAAGTCTCAAAGACTTTGTGTTGTGTTGTCCTTACCCCCCCCAGTCTCGGGGTTTTGTCCAAAATGTTAAACCTTCACCAGCTTGTTTGCGCCCTAACTTTTTACTGCAATGTTCTCCGGAAATGTTTTAGATGGCAGTCAGAAAATATCCATAAGCAGTAATTAAACTTTTGGACGGGTATAGGATTTATTCCACAGCGCTACAAACGTTATTTATTTATTTATTTATTGTTTTTTTTTAATAAAATTTATGTTTTTTTTCTCAAAATTGTCAATTTCTGCTTTTTTTTACACAAAATCGTAATGTTTCCGAGGACTGTAATTTCCTGGGTATCACGAACGCAAATCAATTAGAATTTTCATGTTTCCTTGAAAACTATCTATTCCACGGATTGTCCCAGAAAGTTGGCCATGGACGCCGCTTTCATAGATCTTTTTCGCTCACTCTCGTCCCCGCCACCTGGTAGGCATATACGGCATGAGCGACGAAACAATAAAACATTTCAACCTGCAAATAGTAAAAAAAAAAAAAAAAAAAAAAAAAAAAATAGAGGGGAGGCAAAACGAGAATGGTTGACGCTTACGCTTATATCCTAAATGTATTCCATGCAGAGCGCAACTATGTCTGC